ACGTTGCCTTGGTCGTATACTCGTGTAATATAATTGTGGTCGTCGCCGCCGTCGTCCCTTTGACGGTAGTCGCTCATTTTCACATTTACATTATAATTAGCCGGTTTGTTTCTTTGCAACCGCCACCGCTACCGCACCCCGACCGTCGCTACCGCCGCATCGTTTGTGTGTACGATATATGCTTATACGTTTGTCTCATTTATTACCGCCGCCGTGGCCGTGTTTTACACGTGTTTTCACGCTCAGTCCTGTAGGGCGGGCGACGAGGACAGCAGGGATCCCCGTTACAATTATAATTACGAATATTATTATTAGTAGGAACGACGTTTCTAAAGCTATTACGAAGACAGTAGTGGGCTGCGGCGGTGTCTAGGGTTTACACAAACGATAGCCTGCACCGAATCTTTTGAGCGCGTTTTTCCGCCTATACCGTCGACTGTCACCTAGTCTAATCCGCTACTCCGAAGGTACGCGCGAGTACACGTTCAACGATGGTGTGCAAATACGCGATCGCGAAGAAAAAAAAAAAAAAACTCTAACAATATAAACGATTTACGGCGCCATAGAATCAATCTCTAGTAGCGCACGCATTACATACTACATGTGTTATATTTATATTCACTTAATGCCGCCGCCGTAGCTAATCTGTTCGTCGACGGTGGATTATCAACAGCAGCCACCCCTATTTGTACTAGTGCATGCGAATAAAAAGGTTCTTTTCCCTACTTCGGTAGTCGGTACTAATGGTTAATACAGGCGCGCATACTTGTCCACGGTAAGTACCCGTACTACTAATAGTCGGTGAGATGCTACTGTCGCCGGCGCCGGTGGTTTGTTATTGCGGCGGCGGGTGTCGCACAAACAAATCGGCAAACAAACGAGCGCAAACATACGTCAACAGTGACGGTGAGTGAGAACCGCCGTCCTGGTTTACATTGGACAGAGGTTCGGGGTTACGCATCACTGCTGTGTATAACAACACGAATTCGAATGTCACAAATAAGGAGGACACGGCTTGGTGCGCAAGCCGTCTCAAAATCGTTTACGGCCCCGCAGAAAATATTTTGGAAAACAATCAACAACATAATAGAATATGTAAGCGAATGTACTGCCAACCTATATACATCTGCAGTGGAGTTTTCGGCGAGGAGAATCAGGGGAAAAGAAGGGAGGAGTGCTAACAGCGTAAAAAGCGAAAAATTTCAAGTTTAATAACATAAAACGGGCACGTGCATAATAAATACCGCGGTCGATGGTGTTATATTTATATACCGTCGTGTAATAGCTGGCTAAAAAACAAAAAAAAATAAAAATAAAAATAAAAAAAGGAAATAACACGACGACTGTTGTAATATGACAGGGCGTTGAGCCAACATCCACGACGACAAATCTGTGATGGCAAGAGTTATAATTATAAATGATTACACACGCGATTATGATTATTATGATCGTGTAGATATTTCCCGTGCTCTATGCTGCGTGTACGCCCACGCCGCCCACGCGTAATTATAAAACGTAAACATACGCTAATACAACGACGACGGTCCCTTTGAACAGATTAATTTTTTCTTTGCACTCATCCGCTCATGTGTGTGTGTGTTGGGATTTGGAAAGAAAAACAGACGCTTCTAACATACATATTATGTCTATATAACGAAATTACCGCATGTACCTCCATGTACTCAACGGTGAGTTGGTACTCGATACACCATAAATATCTTTTTAGTTGAAATTTATGTACAACAGCTTCTTAATATATTAGAAATAATAACAATATGTGCGCTTATATATTTTTTCCAGATGAATCAAACGCGCGTATTGCAATCGTTTAAATTGATTTTACTGAACTCCTCGAGTATATAAAAATGAGAATATAAATATTGGTAATGTCATCCGTGCGGAACAAAGCATATTAACACTTAGACATGCAAATTGTGCCGAGAATCAACTTATATGCGAGTTATTCACTCGCAAAAATAAAAATAAATAATATATATATATATATTATATATGTTATGGTGAAAGACAAGGCGATAATTAATAAAAGACGTAATTTACGTGTAAATAGCATTTGTAATTCAAATTTACTAATTTCACCGGTCAATCATGTCATTTACTAAAACTATTGGTAAATAATAACAAATCTCATATTTTTCATAATTTTAAACCAATTAATTATTTTACTATGTAATACACATGAAATAATAATCATTTATCGTAAAGGATTCCTGCTAATACCAATCTTATCCTTATTATGATATATTTGATTAACAAAGCTATGTCACATACGATAATCACTAGACGTCCGTAAATAACTGAAAAATAATAACAAATATAATAATAAAATAATGACTCATACCGATACGCGGCATGTTAACCTTACCAAACCATAATTGAAAAATAAATTAAGACAAATTAATATCTAAATTTACATTTTTCTCCAGAAATCAAAAACTTTAACAACTCTTTAGTTGGTAAATTTGGATTAAATACGTAATATTTTGACTTAACTATTAATAGACATCAATTACCGGTAAATGTCTATAATTACAACATTTACCAATTAGCAGGGATATTATCTCATTTATCGGTAAATTATATCATTCACTGCGTTGACATCTTTCACTTTAGCAAATTATAGGTATGCTGTACAAGCAAAGAGTTCATAATTGTACTGGTTCAAATATAATTAATTACCTTCAGAGACATTTCTAAAATTTTAAGAGTGGTTTTGAACTTAAGTGACTACTGATTAAAAAAAAATTAATATTTTTAATGGTAAGTTGTATATAAGTACTAAAAACGTGTTAAGCTAATATAAAGTTTTTAAACCTCAAACTAAGCGTAGATAAAAAATTCAAATGTGTAATTTATAACATAATAACAAACTAAGAAAAATAATTTTGGTGGTCTTTAAATGGTTATTTATCATTACTTTTCAGTAGCATTCAATACTTGTTGTTGAAACTATCTATATCTAGAATTTAAATAATTATACAGAATAAAAAATGTTGAATTTAATTATTCATTAGTTGTAGTATATAAAGCGGCAAAAAAGGGCATGAAGAACTCATCTATACATTTCATTATCATTGATAATATAATTTATCAACGTTCCATATATTCCCATGCAGTTAATAGATAATTAAATATTAAACTATATATATATATTATGAGGTCTTAGTGAAAAATATTTTTCACAAACGATTAATTTATTGTAAAAATGTGTAAACTTATAAATTACTTACTTATTGTTTCAAAAGTACAATTTGTTAATATTTTTTAATAAAATAAAAATAATGTATCTATATATATATATATTAATAAATATACATTTTATAATTTATATTTAAAATTAATTAGTTTTTTTTTTGTAGAACACTGTTTGACACCTAGTGACGTCAGTTAAATCGTAAAGCGATTTTTTTTTATCAAACAATACAGCGTTTCAGTAACCTTTTTAGAGAAACGTTAAAGGGAATACTTTATAAGTGCTGTTGAGAGGTAGGGAGGCTGAGTCCCCTTGTGCCCTCCCTCCCACTTAAGTCTTGATTAGTTATTGGTTTTACAATAAACGACTCTAATTCTCATATCTTTTGTGTCATTTTAACGAAAGTGATCATAGGTGTGCGCACGGGGTGTTCTGGGTATGCCTGTGCACGCAGACATTTAATTGAGGCCCTAAAATTTAAGTTCTATAGCAAATATATAAAAAAAGCAAATTATATTTTGGGATATAAAAATAATGAAACGTAAAATATTTTAAATTTGTATTGAAAAACGTATTTAGATTATAAAAGCTAGATGTTATTGATTACAAAAGTTCAAATAATAAATCAACATTGCAATTATCTAAAAAAAAAGATATTAGATTCAAATATTCAAGGAAATATACTAGGGTCCCTTGCGATTTAATATTGTACAGCTTTTACTATATATTATAAAAGTGTTATTATTGAAATATACTAATTTGTTACTAAACACTGTTACGTATAACAAATAAGGTGACGTCGAGCCAACAAAACGTTTATGTGTACTTTGACGAACGATGTGAATAGTAAGTTATACGTATATACAGATAAGGTTCTATCGCGTGTGTAGTTAATTATTTAGTTCGTGAACTTAATGAATTAGAAATTGAATCAAAGATTGCAAACAATAAAGACCATCACCGCTATGACGTTTTTACAGATAATATACTGTTGTTTTTTTTTTTAATATTTTTTAGATATTCACAGACCGGATTTTTACAGACGATTTCCGGTCGCCGAGCCGGTGCAAACTACATTGGGTCAGCTGCAGTATGGTCGTAGCAGTGAGCTTTCTTATCGGACAACATTTTCCACTGCTATCAATATAATATGCACCGAAGTGCATTCAACACAATCGTAGTTGTGTTCTCGTAAATCTTTTCGCATTGATCATCAAGCATATTTTACCGCCAAAGGTGCACTCGTACACAGGTACACGCACGGTGTTATCTATCGTTTTACGTGTACCGTTATTGCATTTATTAATTAACCTAAATAATAATAATTAGACATATAAAATGTCTGCGGTTACGACCATTGTTGTCTGTACGAGTATGAAAATAGCTGTAAACAACACTACAGTAATAGTATACAATTCAAACCGTGTTTTAATTAAAACAACTTGAATAGTTGAAAAGGGCTGTTGACGTTGAAGAGTCCGGTAAGATTTCTACTTCGGATTCGAAACGGTTGAACGGTATACGCCAGCGTTTGTGACCTCGATAAGTCTAAGAACGAAAATATTCATAACGAATTAGGTTTTACCTATTAGATTCGTATGGTAACTCGAAATTATCGCTTATTATACGTATCCTATGCATGCGAGACACGGACTACGATCACATAGAGTTCGGACGGACGATGTGATCAGCCGAAATTATACGAAATATGAATTCCAATAATGCACTTGCCATTAACAGCCACGTGCACGTGAACCGGTATTGTTTAATTATTGTCTATTGACCGTACCTAGAAGCTGTTCCGATGATGTCGACAACGATTGGTGCCGCAGGTGATGCTGCAAATCCATACGCCGGCGTGGCCGTCGGCTTCCGGTGTCTTGTGATCGTTTTTCTATCACCACGAAGCTGTAAAAATCGTCCGTTGCCACGGCTGCGCCATCATCCCGACGTCACCGAGCAATCCCGCGGGGCACAACCTATCCGGCACCGCCAGCCGGTGCGCCGACGGCGGCGCGAGCGCGCGCGCACAACCGCGACTGCGACACGACTGCCGCGGCGACGGCTGCGGTAACGTCGGACGATAACAACAAACAATTTTTCTCGAATTTTACCGCTGCCGCCCGTGGGTGCCGGTCGTTGCGCGGCGTTACGGTGCGCGTGCAGTCGGTTGCAGCGATTGCACGACCGTGTTAAGACGCCGACACGGGTGCGCGCTTAAACGCGTCTCGCGCTCGCGCTACTATCAACGTACCGTATCCGTAACGCGTAGTGTCGCGTGTCCGCCGCAGGGCCGTGCCGGGAACGCGGGATCGGACGTGCGTGCCGCGCTGCTGGTTAGTCGGTCGGTCTGTCCGTGTCCGTCCGTCAGTCGGTCGGTTGGTCGGCCGGTACCGAAAGTCGCGGCTGTTAAGGGCTGTGTGGGCGGACCGGAACACGATCGCTTATTGTTAGCGTCGCGCCGTGGGAAAACGATGATACGCGTATGCACGGACCGTAACTGGCTACTGCAGTGTTGTTATACAACTGCACAGCGCGCGCGCGCGCTATACGACTGTAACGCTAATGACGTTTTGCGCGTAACGTTGGCGGCGGTCGGACGCCGATCCCGTGACGTGTCGGGGGCGGGAGGGGCTGCTCCGCGTTTGCGACGGTTCAACGGCAGTGCCAGGAGGCTGGAACACGCGACGCATCGCTAGGACCCCGCCCACCGGCCAGCGCCGGAAACTCCACTACCCGCTACGCGCACCACCACCGTCACCGTAACCACCGTCACAGCCAATCACGATCGTCGCCGTCTGCACCCGTCGGCGTAAACCCTTCCGTCGTCCGTATCCCTCGTCCCGCACGTTAATCCACCGCTTAATGCGTCGGTGCGCACAAATATTTTCACCTACGCTATACTAACGTGCGTAACGAGCTTATCGGTTTTTCGATTTTCGGATGTCGTATTATTATGCTCTATATCGTTAGTCATTCGTAGTCAATAAATGCTAAAAAAAAAAAAAAGAAAATTAAACAATGTTGATTTTTCTTCGAAATCTGTCGATTGTATAGAAAAAAGCGTTGCATTAAGTGAAGAGGGATGGGTATAACCTCTAAATCTGTCAACTTTCCATTATTTTGTCTATTTAGTCGCTTTTGTAATAGCGTACATTTTTTAATACGGAATACGAACGGCTACGAACAATACGAAGCAATAAGCAACGGCAGTGGCATCGATTCCCGAAATACATGCGCGATGCGAGCACGGTTATTAGTACAAGTCACTCGCATCACTGTACGTCTTGTGTCATGTAATAATAGCGGCGATAAATCTCCGGTGGCGATGGATGGCCAACGCCGTTGTCGGTCGGACGAGCGTCAGCCGAACGACGGCCGTCGCGCGTATAAGTGATACGGTCCATGTACGCGCCATCGGCGCTGGGACACGGAACGTTTATCGCTTGCGTGCGCTTGACGGACGATTGCGTCCTAGTGTAAATATCGCCGCCGGGTTGAACGTCCCCGCGCCGTGATGCCACGGACGTCACTTTGCCCGGTTGGTAACTATTGCGTCCCGTTCGGACGAACGCAGCCGTATGAAAGTGACAATGATATTGCGACCACAGCAAAGCAGAAGAAAAGTAAAGTTGAGCTACGAATCTGGTCCGACACTCATGTTTTTTTTTCTGTTCCGGTTTTCCATTGAACCATAAATACGAATTGGTTCTTAACTAAGAGTGGTCGTTCCAAAAATGAGCTTGAGGGCTCCCGTACCTATTTTTTCGGTAACCGAACAATTTATAAATCATAAAATATCCCCATCTCGTAAACCTTAACAATAATAATTAACAAAAGTCATAATTATTTAATAATATACACATTGATTTTGAAATACTTTTGATAACGAAATGTGATTAATTACATCAGATAAAAGATGAAACAGTAATTATAAATAATTATAATAAAATAGTTATTTTATTATAATTATTTATAATTACAGTTAGTTAATTACAGTTATTAAGTTCATAGCAGTTCACACGTCTAGTTATACTATAAAAATGTTTGATGTACATCATATACTTATCTTGTAATAATTTTTTTCTTTTAGTAATTAAATTTACATTTCAAATTGTTTATCTGTTTCCTGTCTACTCAATATTTGTGTTGGAGGTAGAGAAAATGTATAAAATACATTTTATTTTTGTTTATTTATTTATTTTTATTATTAGGATAAACCTCGACAACAAGGCCATTTTTTCGATGAGAATTTATTTGTAACATATATATATATATATGTTACGATAAAAATAGCAATATCGACGGTAAAACTTAAAATACAAAAAATAGTTTGATCAAATCCCGAATTATTTTTATAGTCAAAATTTTTTCAAACGATATTTAGTCTTAGTCTTAAAATAACCAACTTGTATTGGTAAAAGTCCGATATTTTTTACCAATGATGTGATATTTTTTTCCCTTGCTTGAACTTGTTTATAAATGATATATACTATATCGTATATAAATCATAATAATCATATTTTTTTATTTTATTTTATATTTTCGCAAATCTTATTGATTCTATGAAATTAATGTAATTATTTGGTTGTTGAATATATTATATTTACTTTACTGCGGAGTATTTTACCAGCATTTAAGCTTTATACTCATATATACTACAATTACAATTAACTATTTGAATTTTTCTTCTTCTTTTTCTACAACTTTTACAGTCATAGAGTTATTTTCGCTGCCTCTACTAAATTTTTCCATCTGCCTCTGTCGATACTGTTCTCTATCGTTATTCTTTTGAATACTTATTTAGATCATCGTTGACCCTGTAAATCTAGCGTTGTATAGGCCGACCTCTAGATCTCTTCCCGTCTACTTTCCCTTCAAATATTTTATTTATTATTTCATTCGACCTCCAGACGTAGCCAGTCCATTCGATTATTTTACTCATTATATATGCATTAATTCCAAGCTTTTGGTAAAAGAATTAAATCACTCTATTAGTTATTCTTCTTCTACATAGGTACCTACTTCACTTTTTATGATATGACCATCAATTTTTTTAACTACTCTTCTTTCCAAGCAAGTCATTTTTCTTTCGTCACTATTTTTGATTGACCAAGTTTCGCACGCGCAAATTTGAACTGTTCCTAGATAACTAGAATATAAGCATTATTTTAATTGTCTGGAAAGAAGTTTCGATTTAAATAACATTTTCAACGCATAATAATCCTTATTAGTGGCGAATTCTCTCAGCTTAATTTTATTATGTATATTATTCTGATTATTTAGATCTGCCCCAAGATATTTTAAATTTTCCACTTGTTGAAAGGAATAATTCCCTTCTACCAAATCCAAGTAGTCTCTTGTACCTCTAGTCATGACTAGATATTTTGTTTTGTGTTTGATTAATTTCTAGACCCATTGGATTTGCTGCTCTTATTAATACATTTTTTCTTGTCATAACCTTTTGGCGAGTATTACTTATTATAACTATACCATCAGCATAGGCAAGAAAAGTGTTATTAGATAAACATTCCATTCTTTAGCGTATTGGTATTGACCTTATAAATTTTCCAAGTACTAATTTGAGAAGGACAGGGGACAACGCATCACCCTATTTAAGATCAGCTTTGACTTCAAAGCTCTGTGATATACTATTTCATAGTATTTCTATGTCATAATATATTATATGTATTATTATTTTTTTATGTATTTAATTTTTTTTCTATTTTATACTATTTTTATATAAATTATTATAAACTTTTTGGATTAGTTGAAATATTATAATTTATTTAGTTCGAACAAAAAATTAAACGAAATAGAATACTAGATGCAATGATCATTATATTGTTAAAAAGTTCATTATACCCCATAAATTGTATCCATTATACGGAAATGTAGGTTATATTATAGTTGAAATTTGCTGAAATTAGTTATTCAGAAGCGAATTTTTATTTTTTACTAATGTTAAGTAATACTTAAGAATATCTATCATTCCAAAATTAATTAATTTTACATATTATCAAAATACACGGAATACAAAAATTCAAAAAAAAAAGTCTTGTATAATTCAACAGCCTTAAATATAATAAAATATTAATATAAAATATTTTAAGCGCGGGTATTTTCTTTCATTAAATATGGTTATTTTAATTTCTATATCTTTTATTTTATTATTATAACTCGATAAAGAACAAATTAAAATAAATATTACAAATAGGAAAAACAATTAAAAATCTAAAAAAATGAAATGTTTTAAATTAATTTTGAGTGGTTAATTAATGATAACTTAATTATTCACTTTTAAAGTAATTATTTAATAAAATAAATTTAAAAAAATAATGTACTCGTATTGTTGAAATGTTTATGTTATGTTATAATTTGAAACTGTATTGAAATATCTACTAATGATCTAGCATAAATAATGTTCGTTATATGTTAAGGGTTAATATATAGAATTAGATGATACACCCACATGTAGATGTTATTTTTTCCTCAGTAAAAACGGATGTTGCCTAACCCATTAACTAGAGACCACCATGTTTACTAGAATAAGATACTATAATAGTCATACACACTGTCTTGGGGTAGTATGTCTAATCAAGAGTCCTAATCCAGTAGTATTTATAAAGAAATATATTGAATATATTGTAGTTAACCTAGGCTGCCGCAAGCAATCACACATTTTTAGACTTAATGAATATATTATGATTGGTTCAGTGTTGAGTTAGTTACATTAAAAAATTAATAAGTTACTCTACTCATGACTCATTACTTAAATGTAATAAAATTACGAAATTACTTTACTTCTCATTGAAAAAAGTAATTACTTTTCAACTTTCAAGTTACAATTCAAAGAAAAAAAAATTCAAAATAATTGATCTTCTAAATTTTTAGAAAACACACGATAAGGTGACAATATGAATTTGAGCCCAGAAAACAATCTCTCCGCGCTTACTTGGGTAGAAGGAACAGAAAAAATTATTTTTGCTAGTTTAGCAAGCTCTGGATAAATGGTTTTTATATGTTTCCAAAACTTTAAAATTTCCAATTTGTGGCTCAACCTTTTTTGATTAATGTAATATGATTTAAAACGATTTGATTTTCGATTCTAGTAGCTATAGAACCTTGATTTGACGAGTTGAAACTTAAAGAGGACTCATTTACATTTTCTCGAAGAAAAATTTCAAGTTCTTCTAAATCATCTATTGCAGTAAAATCGTTATGTTGTATAGTTTGACTTTTCGTAGAACCAACAAACTCAATTTCTTTTTGTTCTAATTCATTTATATGGATCCAGAAATTAATTAAATGCTCTATAGTAATAGTGGACTGTTCTTGATTCAACATATTTTAAAAATGAGGATCAAGATACATAAAAGATAAAAAAACTTTGTTGTTCATTATATGTTGTTCCCTCATAATTAAACACTAGGCTAAATTATTTGAAAAATTGGTAGGTATTCAATGATTGTGTTTGAATTTTGCAAGTTAACCATGCTCCATAAAAGTCAGTAAATGTCAGCTGTTCCGATTCCTATTTTTTTGCACATATTTTGG